ACCAGGGAAAAAAAGTCAGTCATGAGAATAGGGAATGGGCATTTGTCGACGGAATAACAGGCATTTATAAAAGGTAAAAAGGGGCATTTATGAAAAGGGGATAGAACCCTTATTAGAAACGAAAGGGGGCACGTATCATTAAAAGGAAAATTATCAGCGGTGAAAAGAGGCACTTATCGCACCTGACCAAATATATGAACAGGGGCACTTATGTCAATGAAAAAGGTGCACTTATAATAAAGGAAAATGTTCATTAGTTGAAAGAAAATGATTTTAAAGAAAATGATTTTAAAGGGGCATTTATCGGGGGTGAAAAGAAAAGGAGTAACTTCTCGTACCTGAAAAGGGTGATTTACCAGAGAAAGGGTACTTATGAGAATGGAAAATAGACACTTATTGCAAAGAAAAATGGGAAGTTGTCGAAGAAAAAGGGGCACGCTACCAAATAAAAGGGAAATTATCAGAGTTTAAAAGTTGAAGGGGCACTTTCACTAATTAATAGGGGCACTTGTCAAAGTAAAAGGGGCACTATTCCTATGTAAAAAGGGGCACATTCCTGTGTTAAAAAAGAGGCACTTTTTGGGTGCGTGAAAAAGTGGGGGGCACTGTGCCCCCTCTGCCCCCCGGGAGGGCCACCTCTAGTTTTATATCCTTTATTCAGTGCGATTCTATTTTATCGTTGGAGCCATTGTACTTTGTAGGCAGGCATGACTATGAGCTATACAACAATATAGATTAAAACAATTATACGCTCATACATTTTGAAGGTCGGGCAGTGGCAAGATCAAGGGCAACGGCAAGATCAACTGCAAAAGCAGGCCGTATGGTGTTTTCAAATCGACTTATTCTTTCATTACTTTTTTGATTATCTTTTGGGAAAGCTATCACAGAACATCTGGCTGGAATAATGTAATCGAAATTTTTAATTCAATACTCTATTTTTCACATAATTTTACATGACCTTGTTCACTAGCGGATACTGCCTTGAAAATCAGGAATGGCACGGCGGCATACATTATGTGAAATCGTGATCGTGAACAGACCGGACAGGTACATAAGAGAACCTACCCCCAGTGGCGGATCCAGGGGGGGGGGGGGGCCGGGGGTGAACAAGGTCATGTAAAATTAGGTGAAAAATAGAGTATTGAATTAAAAATTTCAATTACATTTTTACATTTTTCCCCCCCTGGGAAAAAAGAAGGGGGAAATAAGGGGAATTTTCTTCTTTCTTTTTTTTTGAAAAAAGAAGTGTTCCTTTCCCACTTGTATCACAGAGAAACAACAGTTTAAGTTAAGTCTAACCAGGCGCGGATCCAGGATTTCTTAGGGGAGGGGGCCCAACTTTTTTTTTTTTTGCTCCCGAAAATTTGAAAATCGCGCCGGCCGAAAAGTCGCTCAGTGGGGGGGGGTAGTGAGCACATTTTTTTTTTTTTTTGATCCTCAAAAAATTTTCAATTTGCACCCCCCCCCCCCTTGAGCGCCAGGGGGGGGGGCCCAACCCCCAAAAATCGTAAAAATCACGTGATTTTACATGAATTTTTTCTCAAGGGGGGGGGGCCCGGGCCCCCCGGGCCCCCCCCCCTGGATCCGCCACTGAGTCTAACGTTAACGTTAATTTGTTATTAAAATGTAGAGTACAGCCCTTGGCCTTAGGCCTAATTTAGGTCGTAACTGTTTGAAAATCTAAAGTAAAATTAGACGGTTTTCATGGTTAGACCACGTAATTGAGAAATTTTTTTTTACCCGTCACTGAGACCAGGTCAATCAATCTTCTAGATCCATTATTAGGGTCTAACGTTAGTAGATATAAGGTAGATGCAGGCGCGGATCCAGCGGGGGTGAGCGGGCCTTGCCCCCCCCCCCTTCCGCAAAAGAGAGAGAGAGAGAGAGAGAGAGAGAGAAGGAGAAGAGGGAAAGGGAAAGAGGAGAGAAAGGGAAAGAAAGAAGAGGAAGAAGAAAAGAAAAGGGGAAGAAGGAGATTGGGGGGGGGGGGGGGCGAAAGGGCCTTGCCTCCCAGGCTGTTGCCTCCCCCCAATAAAAACAAAATAAGAGAGAAGGAAGGAAGGAAATGGAAAGAAAAAAGGAAAAGAGGAGATAAAGGGAAGGAAAATTGAGGAAGAAGTAAAGAAAAGAAGGGGGATATCATGCAGTTGCAATTTTCCCGCCAACAAGTTGAGGATGGGGGTGGGGCATAAGGCCTTTGCCTCCCCCGCCCCCGCTAAAAAAAAGAGAGAGAAGAAAGGAAAAGGAAAAAAGGAGAGCTAAAAGGGACCAAAAAAGAGGAAGAAGAAAAAAAAGGGTGAAAAGAATTTTGATGCAGTGTTCGAGTAGAATTCTTGTAGCTTGATGCGACGAAGTGTCTCTATCCAGATATCTGTTGATAGTATTATAGAATATAGAAGCCTGATATGACCTTCTGCTCGTAACAGACAAGTCACCGCATTAAAATTAAATTGCAAAACACGATGGTGGATGAAACTTTCTAATATTCGAAGATATATGACCTTCAGACCATACTGTTTCATTATTTTTTATTCAATCAATCAACGTCAAAGAATTGATTTATCATCGCACTTCAATTTATTATTTCACCTTTTAATGTACTTTCATTCTTATGCATCACGAAAAAACACTGAATTGGATTCTTCAATGATTGTTTGGATTAATTTCCTCCCCTTTCCTTCTCCCTGTTTAATACTGATAAAATTTTCAATATTTCTTAATCAAGGCAAAATATTATTTTCATATTTTCTTTATGCAAGACAGGGAGAGAGAGAGAGAGAGAGAGAGAGTATATGTTAAGTGAGAATTATCGAGTACAACTATGAATTGCTTCCTTTTCAATATTATTCAATTCGCTGAAAATCTTTATTTTATAATTCCACAGGGCGATTTTTAATTTTGCAATCGCCCCCGTGGACAACCTGATGGGGGCAATAATGGAGCTCACGGGGTCGAATCGCCCATCGCCCCCGTGTATTTTGAGTGCTGCATAGCGCTCATCTGCATCTCGCAACAACAAATATCGTAAATTTTTTGTGGTACACTTTTGAACTGGTCAAAAAATAAAAATTTTAAAAATTTCATTTGCATAAAGTACCATAAATAATCAATGGAGCAAAATCTCATAATTCTGTGCAGAAGTTTAGTGTTCCAAATTTAGCTCTACCAGATAAGGCAAACCAAATCAAAATCAGTCAAGAAATGAGGGAAAAGAAGCAATTTTTGGAATAAATTTGCATACATTACCATAATTAATTAATGGAGAACAATTTCAAAATTCTGAGTAGAAGTTTAGTGTACCCAAGTTAGTTCTACCATATAAAGCAAACCAAATCAAAATCGGTCGAGAAATGAAGGAGAAGAAGCCTTTTTTGTGATTTTGAATAAATTTGCATAAATTAGCATAGATAATGAATTTCACGATTCTGTGTAGAAATTTTAAATCCCCCTCCTAGCACTATCATATGAAACAATCAGAATCAAAATCGGTTGAAAAATAACGAAGAAGAAGCATTTTGAAAATCTTGATATGATTAAGTTAAGTTAGAGACTTGGGTTAAGTTTTTGATGTTGACACCGCCCCCGCCGTCGCCGGAAAAGCGGCGCCTATGTCTCGCTTTTTGCTACGCAGGCGAGACAAAAAGTATTTCTTTTATCTAGCCTTGAATATTTCTTTTCAAGTTTTCTAGAGTGACATACATAAAGAGAAGAAAAATGTTACACACAAGGCCTAAAAAGAAAAATGTTATATTGCCCTTTAGGTTCCAAAAAATGGGTCGGCCTGTCAGAATTTTTTTTTTTTTAACTGTTTTTCTTCTTCCTCTTTGGGCTGATATTTTTCAGTTTTGAATGCTTTAATATTTTTATTCTTTAAAAAACGGTAATTTTCTTTTATTTTTTAAAAGCTGACTGTAGATTTCAAGATTTTGGGGTCGGTCGCAAAGGGCAATACAACATCTTTTAGGCCTAACGTAACGGGTTAGGGGTAACCCAGCACGTATCAAATTTTGTCACTGACCGATAAACATCCTGGTACAAAAATGGCTGTTATATTTCTCGCATAAAATATTTATGGTTTATTTTCAAGGAATCATGTTCGTACATGTAATTCTATACTGAATATCATATAATTTTACCTCAAACATTATCCCAACGACTTTTAAAAAAGAAGAATATATACAATGACCCCTGCAGTATGTTTTTCTGTAAGTACAGTTCTTCAGCTGTAAAGTCATACTGAGAATTGATATCATCATGCTTCTGAACAGCACCCTCGCTTGTCAGCTTTTATGTCCTAAATCCATAATTTCTCAGCCCGTCATGCAATAACTTTATGTTTTTGGCAAATAAGGAAATAACCCAGAAATAGCTAAGGAATTTGTCTCAAGCTACGCACTTAAACAGTAAAATCCACTATACTTCAGCTGTTAAGTCCTATAACAAGGCAATGGACACTATCATTTTTCTGACTAACTATTCTGTTTACATTTATGTCCCGCAAAAAGATTTTGTCATAGCCATAAAAAAACATTTTAAGACAAGGAAAGTTGAAGGGATAGTTGAGTTCTGTTTTCAGACCGCAAATGCCTTTAAAGTGCATGGTTATTGCTCTTATTCTTATCTATGACATTTCTAGTGCCTTTTTTAGAACCTAAAATTGCTTTGAAGGTAATTTTAGACCCCAAAATGTGTGAAATTTAGCCAATACAAGCATACCAATTCAGCTCCACTTTAAAAAAAATCATGGTGACCGTTAATTGATTATTTAATTAAAAATAACGATACATGGGCCGGCTGATTGTGTGTAATATAAGCAACACGGAAATGCAACGACGTTAAAGGCATTAATTACGGTTTTTTTCAACGTTTTTGTCAAATTTCTCAAAATATCTAATATTTGTGGTGGTACACAAGTATTAGAAATTGTTATATTTCAGCCGTCTCTGAACCGATTTTGATCAAACAAAGATGATTTTGTCATTTAAATATTATGTTCTTTCAAATTTGACACTCAGTTTTTCATTATCTCACAAAAAAATATTTTTTGTAGCGCCCTTTGCAACAGAACTCAACTATCCCTTTAAGAAATACAGATAAGTAAAGTTTTGATGTGGCTGTAAAGTCCTATAACCATGCTCCCATAGCTAGCAGGGTACAGATAGTTGCGACACATGCACTCTCATAGTTCACAGAGGACCAAAATGGTGTCCTTCCCTACTAGGCATTGTATGTGAAGGGGCACTATTTGAGCTCCAGGGATAGCCTTTCAGCACGTACATATGCTCATGTCACAACTCTCTCTCTCTAACTATGCTATGCATGCTTCAGAAGAGCTCCCTCTAGAGGCAGTTCTAGGATAGTTTCATCCTACAAGTACACTTTGTCTTTGCCATGTGAAAACTTGGTATTGAGCTGAGCAGACTTCTTGATGAGGAGCTTCCGCTTTGCTTCGTCAAACTGGTTGACATTCAGGTCAAGGTCACGGTCAAAAGGTCGTCTTTCAACTGGCTTTTCTCCTTCCTCTTCCTACAGTGAGGCAAACGAAATAGGAATTATCAATATCTAATTTCTCTATGATTAGAAAGCTATCCAATTTTTTCTAATATAATCTGACCAAGAAAGCGAACATCAGTTGCAATAAATTTCCCCTAAAATAAAGTTTAGAAGAATTCTCACACATATCACAGTAAAGCACTCATAACTCCCCTTCAATAAGAAGACCTTGAATAGCAATTTGAATGGAAAGTTTGGTCGAGACAAAAAGAGGCTTTGCGCATGTACTACTACTACTACTAATAACAAAATATATGAGATTTGTAAGGCGTGAATCCACAGTAAAAGCAAATGCTCTAGGGGCGCTTGTGAAACAAAAACAAAAAAGAGGATGTATAAAAGCATCTGCATTATAAACAAAGGAGCAGAAGTAAGAAAGAACATGTATACAAAAATTATAGAACAATTAATTATAACAAACGCCTTTATGCATACTCTGTGAATAAGCAGATTTGTGACCTTTATTCTTTGGTTGTTACATGGTTTACCATGTCATTTTAAAGTTGCTCAAGCGTGGGTATATAGTCGTTTGTGAAGAAGGAAACTTGGCGATCACTCCCGATCACTATAACACTGAGCCAATGGGTATTACGCTCCCGTGCGTCATCCGTGTGCTGCCCTCTATATAACCAAGCTTGAGCAACTTTAAAGGAAGGTGTGATGATGAAACAAGGACTAGAGCATATGTCAGTGGCCACAATTATTCCAGTGATAATTGCTCTGACCTTTATCTACACTGGCAGTAGGGTTTACGGTTTTTGGATCAGATTAAGGGTAAGGGTCAGTGTGAGGTATAGAGTCTGATCCAGGTTTGAATTAGGGATGTAATTAGTGTAGCAAACTCATCATGGAGCAACTGTGGTGAGAGTAGATGCTGAACAACACCTAGAAATACAAGACCACTTACTAGTATTCTCTTGCGGTCCTTGGAGTGCATGTCAACCAAGCTCTCTGCTCTCTTTGTCTCGTTGTGTTTAGCCACCATGTCAGCCAGTCTCTTGTCTCTCTGCGACAGTTCTGTCCCGGCCTCCTTTTTCCTACTCTTCCCTCCTCTTTCTTGAGTTTCTTCTATCCTTCTTTTCTCGGCTCTCTCCTAAAATAAGAACGTGTCACAACAAACTTGTGTGTTAATGAAAGGAATGGTAGTTGGGATGAAAAGTGTATTTGACAGAAAAATACAAACCAACATTACACTTACAATATAATATGCTGATTAAGGATAATTTTACTGTACACAGGAAAAGGGACAGCATAAGACACAGAAAGGAAAGCATAAGGGAGGAAAGAAAAGAACATGGAGGTCTGAATCATAGATATTTCCAGCATAACGTGGTAAAGGTGCTGTAGTCCAGAGGTTTCAACACATGAAGGTAGTAGATCCAAACCTAGGAGTGTCGTGGTCGAGTGGTTTAAGGCGCTTGACTGGAGATGCGAAGGTCGAGGGTTTGAATCCCGACACGGCACTAATATCCTTTGGCAAGATATTTACCTGCACTTGCTACTCTCCACCCAGGTGTTAAATGGGTACCTGGTAGGATGCGAACGTTCATGTGGTTGGACGAGCAAGTGTGCACTTGTAAAATGGCGACTGGCTGGAATACTCCCCAGGGAGTGGAAAATGTGCATACATTGTGTGCGGGTAAGCCTGAATCCGATGACCGGGGTAATAATATATCTGTAAAGCGTTTAGGCACATCGTCGGATTGATGTATTGAGCGCTATATAAACAAAGAATATTATTATTATTATTATGACACTCATGTCTTGAAGCATGGCAATGTATCCACATCGCTTCTCTCCTTCAAGGGGTTATATTGGTCACCTGTGTAAAGTGTGTATAAAGACCACATGTTTGTTTCGCTTGACAATCTTGTCTCATAGAAACTTGTACTAAAGGAACCTGCACATGAAGACCACCTGCCTATAAAAAACACTTTGACTTGTCTCTCTTGAGTGGTCTTTATATACCGTACGTTTCACTGTATCTGTGTCTGAACAATTATGTGTATGTAGCTGGAGTGCCCTCAGGGCTGGGAGTGTGTGCACGCAGGCAATGCTGAACCTAAAGACTGAGATGATAACATATACCATAAACATGTATATAATTAGGCACAAATTCACACAAGCCGGCAGAAGATCACCCTTGTCTAGATGCTGAAAAGGCTTTGACAAGTAGCAGAATAGAAGTAGAATAAAAGTGTAAGATCAGGAAAAGGCGCTATATCAGATATCTTTTGGATTGGATTGGATTGGATTGTGAACACAGGCAATGCTAAACCTGAAGACTCTGATGATAACATATATCTGTGAAGTGCTTAGAGACATTGTTGTTAACAATCCAGGATATTACTTTTATCATCTTTATTATCAGTTCAACTATAAATCACCTTTTCTCTCCTAGCTTTATCTGCTGGAGTATCTGTCCATTCCGACCGATCCGTTTCCTCAGGTCTCGCTGTCTTTCGAAAGGTCCTGGATCCAAGACCAAAGTTAGTAGAGTACCCTGGGAGCTCCATCATCCATGTCTCCCTCTTAGGCTGCTCCGGTCGATTCTGTAATTCAGCCAAAAATACAATTCTCAAGTAAAAAACAGAATTAATTACTTAAATATCATTGTGAGTAAATCCTCTGTATACAACATCAAAACCTAAAAGTGTGCCCACGAACAGAAAAGTATTTTTTACAATGCTGTAATTGATATGAGAAATCAGTGGGTTCAGGTTCAGTTCCTGTTACAGCAACAACAATTATTTTCATGATACAGAAAACTTTCATCAGTTGGGGATAATTATAACATGTAGTTTTAAGCTTCTACCAAGCTTATATTTGTTATGCAAGCTTTCGCCCACTCCCGTGGACTTTCTCAAGCTAAGTGATCAGTCTGAGTCATCTTTTTTTTCATGACAAAGATTTTAACATTTGAAGCAAGTGTGGTATTTGTTTTCAATATAATGCTGATTCATAATAGAGTCTTTAAAAAGTCATTTTTAGTTTGACGGTTCTTACATGCTATAGTGACTTGCTTCCACATTACGAAAGACACAGAGGCAGGTTTTTGTTTAAAAAACGTATTATTAATGAATTGCAAATGGGGATGAAAAAATTAGCTGCGCACTAAGAGATCCTTCGACCTTCGCATACTCACAACTACAACAATAAGCCATACAATATGGTTTCCAAAAAAAGGGATTAATGCTGCAAAAGCCAATTACTGGTACATACCTTATTTGCAATTTTTTCCTTCATGGCAGCTGCTCTCTTTTCAAATTCATCAGCGGTCGATGAAGAATATAAACCCTCACTACCTGGCTTCAAAGGCATAGGGCCAATCATTTCATCCTCCTCCTCATCATCACTCTCATCATCCTCCGCAAGTTCTACCAGCATCCTATTGCTATGGAGACCAGGAGGAAGTGATGGACCATAGTTTCTGACATTTAAGTTCGCCGACATTTCAGCATTGTCTGTCGGTTGATGTTTTTTATAACTGGGAGGTAGTGCTGGTCCATATGCATCATCATCGTCATCATCATTGTCTACCTCTTTATTCTGCTTTTCCTGAACACCAGCTGCGTCATCCTTTGTGTCTTCATCATCATTTTCACCAAAATCATCGTCACTGGCATCAACATCGAATGTGTTCCATCTGCTGTAGTCAGGGGGAAGCTGTACACCAAACTCTGTCTCATCGTCTTTTTCTTTTGCAACTTGCTTTCTTTTCTTTGGTTGTAGGTGTGGTGGCAGAGCAGGGCCTATTTCATCATTTCCATCACTGTCTTCATCGCCACTGCCGGCCATAGTTTTTCCAAGAAGGTGTGGAGGCAACGCAGGCCCAACTAAATCACTGTCGTCACTGTCATCTTCATCCACTAGTGATTTTCTACTGGAGTTGGCTGTTTGAGAAAAAGGTAGAAAGGAATAAGTAGTAAATTACTTACTTTCTTTTTGTAAGATCTAGCGCACATCAAACATGAATATCTGATACATCTCTACTACGTAACTTCTACAGTAATCGATGCCCTTCCAAAATACTTCAGAAATTATCATCCTGGCTTTCATTGCCAAACTGAGCTTTTGTCTCAACTTCAAAGTTCAAGACTGTTGTCCACTCATCCACTTTTACTTACTTAGTATCAAACAGGCTAGTACTTTGAAGTTGAAAGTCATTATTTTAGTGTTTAATTTTAGCAGTATAGGAATATTACTATTTTTTCAATGCTTTTTCGTGACTCTTACATCATCCCTCACCAACGTTAAAGTTAAGACTTTGTACACGCCCTAACAAAGGGCTAAAGCCAGGCGCAAGAACCTTCTCTAACAAGTCTAAGAAGTATAATAATAATAATAATATGTCTTGTTTACCCAGGGTAGCCTCATCAGTATGAAATACTGACTACAAAACCCCCTCCTCTAACCGCACCACTTCCATCCATACTAGCACCCAACTTTTGAAAACCCTGATAGTCCCAATAGATAAGACCAAATCCTTAAAGAACGTAACCCCTAAAGCAATAGCTACATCAATCAAAGAATGTGTGGGCCAATCACCTATGATTGAGTTTATCAAACACACGTACTCCGGAATTCTTGTTCAGTGCAAGACCCCAAAACAACATCGAAACCTTAACCAAATCCAATCAATCGGTAACATTCCAGTTAAAGTACAAGAGAAGATCGTGGGTGTGAAAGGAGTCATCTCAGGGATCCCGGTAGACATGACAGAGAAAGAGATAGAACAAGAGCTGAAATGCCAAAAAGTAATAGCAGTTAAAAGAATCATGAAGAAAAGAAAAGAAAACAAAGGAAATGAAAACGAAACAAATCTGCAGCCAGAGTACTTTCCGACTAGAAGTGTCATTTTGACTTTTAACTCAGAACTTCCAGAAAAGGTTTCTATGTTTTTTCAGACATTCAGAGTCTCGTTATATATCCCACTCGTTCCCAGGTGTTACAGATGCCAAATGTTTGGTCATGGCATTGCTCATTGTAGATCGAAGTTGAGATGCGTTCGCTGTGGAGATCCCCACACTTTTGAACAATGCCAAAGAAAAGAAAATCCAAAATGTGTAAATTGTGGAGAAGCCCACTCCGCTGCCTATAATGGCTGCAAAGAAGCTAAAAAGGCAAAACAGGTCCAGCAATTCAAATGCGAAAACAAACTAACTTACGCACAAGCCTCGAAGGCATGGAACGAAAAACAACGTCATGATCAAAATTCCAACCCTATCCCAGAACCCATTCAAAAGAGCGCTCAACAACAGAGTGCACATCAACCCCAAACAAACAAAGAGTCTCCCCCCAATTACGAACCCCCTACCAAAGTTTCAAGTGCTCCACATTATGAACAACCATCCAAAGTTCCCTCTTCCTTATACTCCCAAGATCAAAATCAATCAAACAGAAATACAAAACTCGCGGGGAACGCAAATTTAACAAATACTTATGTCAGAAATGGAAACGCCTCAACATCAGAACGAAATGAACAAATATTGCACTCTATTGTACAATTGATAATGATTTTTGAAAAAGATAAAAGAGAAGTTGATATTATTGAGCTGGTTAAAGTAGCAGCGGAAAGACTACTTTACAAAAGATTGCATCACGAGCAGTATGATGGGTGCAGTTAGTTATTTAACAACAATAGCTGTGCTTTCCATTCTCCAATGGAACGCACAAGGCATGTCCGCACATGGACATGAGCTCTTAAAATTTGTAGACTGTAATAATAGAACAAATAAAATAATTCATTTAATCTGTATCCAAGAGACTTGGTTCAATGACACTAGGAACTTAACCCTTCCAGGCTATACTTGTATCCCCAAAAACAGAAAATCCCAATATCGAGGTGGATGTGCTTTTTATGTTCATGACTCTATTCAATACAATCACTCCTCTAGAGATGAGACAGATTTAGAATTACAATCCATAGAATTATACGTAGCTGATTCTATTTATCGAGTTGTGAATTTTTATAACCCATGCAAACAACTAAACCAAATTATCATGCAAGAACTTCAAAAAAGCATCCAAGAATACGATAAATATATCATCGTAGGAGACTTTAACTCACACAATACTTTATGGGGGAGTGAAAAAACGGACCCCAATGGCAAGATCATTGAAAACTTCATAAACGAAAAAAATATGGTTTTATTAAATGATGGGTCCGGAACAAGAATGGATCCGAAGAACGCAAAAGTATCAGTTTTAGATCTATCTATTACGTCCTCCCTCTTATCTGGCAAATGCGAGTGGCGCGCTTTACAAAACAAATTTGGAAGCGATCATTACCCAATCTCTATTCATATCATACTAGATAAAAAGCACAACGATAATAAACAAGACGAAATGGAAGATATCAGATGGTCCTTTCGGAACATGAACTGGACACTTTTCTCGGTAGAGTGTGAAAAAATGTTTCATCGGGAAAACGAAAAAAATGTAAGTGAAGACCCAACAGAGTTATATCTACACTTTATCAGTACGATCACCGAGGTTATTCAGAAAACCTATCCAAAAAAAGGTAAACGACAACGAAAACCCATCCCTTGGTGGAATAAGGAGTGCTCAGATAAAATAAAGGAAAGAAATAGAGCTAAAAAGAAACTAAATAGAACAATATCGATTGAGAATTTAAACGACTTTTTGAAGAAGAAGGCAGAGACGCAGAAATTCCTTCGTCAATGTGAACAACTATACTGGAACAACTTCTGCCAGAAACTTAATCGATTTGTCCCGGAATCTAACATCTGGAAATGCATTAAAAGATTGAATGGCATACAAACCAAAACAAAAAGAATTCCAGTACTGAAAGACAAAGAAAGGATTATGCAGTCGGACCAAGACAAGGCGGAGTTACTTGGAGGTTTCTTTCATACAATTTTTACTACAGAAGCGCCAAAATCAACAGAAAAAACCCGAAGTTGGCAGCCGAATCAGGAAATAATGGATAATACATTAAAGGAAAGTAAAGTACATACTCTGAATGGGGCATTCGGACTAGCAGAATTCAATAGAGCCATCGAAAAGAAAAAAAATTCTGCTCCTGGAAAAGACAGAATACCGTATTCAGTTTACCAAAACTTGCCCCTTGTGGCGAGAGAGTACGTACTACATTTCATTAATTTAATCTGGGAATCCAACCAAATCCCTCCCCAACTCAAACACGCGATAATGGTCCCAGTCCTAAAACAGAACGGAAATGCAAGTGAGGCATCATCATATCGACCCATAGCGTTATCGCCATGTCTCATAAAAATCATGGAAACGATGATTAAAACAAGACTTGATTGGTTTTTAGAGAAGCATGAGATATTACCTACTTTTATGAGTGGGTTCAGAAGAGGCCGTAGTATAACAGACAATATAGTAAATCTTGAAAACGATGTCCAGAAGAGTATAAATAATAAAGAGCATACTTTAGCCGTTTTCTTAGACATAAATAAGGCATATGATACAGTATGGATAGAAGGCCTAATTCACAAACTAGGAAATATAGGTATTCAAGGAAACATGCTTAGATTTCTTCACAACTTTTTAAAAGACCGCACTTATCAGGTACGCGTTGGTAGACAACTATCGCACGAGTTCAAGATGGAGAGAGGTCTCCCGCAAGGTAGCATACTGAGTCCCACACTCTTTAACATAATGCTCAACGATATCCCAACAGACCCTTCGATAAAAATATCCTTGTATGCCGATGATTGCGCGATATGGATCTCACGCAGCAATATTCCTTTCATTACCAAAAAAATACAAAATTATATTGATGACCTACATAGCTGGTTTACGTCCTGGGGTCTCCAATTGTCCCTAAAAAAGACTGTTCCCCTACTTTTCACCAAAAGTACCAAAAACCATGAGATAAACCTCACTTTAAACAAAATACCACTAAAATGTGAAAATACACACCGATTCCTAGGTATATTATTTGACAAAAAACTTACCTGGACTCAACATATAGAGTATATATTCACCAGATGCAAGAGAAAGTTAAATATTTTAAGATGTTTAACTGGTACGTCATGGGGCAGTTCATCTAAGTCCTTAATAATGGTTTATAGAGCTTATATTCGCCCCCTTTTGGACTTCGGGTGTGAAGCCTACGACAGTGCATCGGAAAACGTAAAGAAGGTGTTAGATTCGATTCAATACCAATCCTTAAGGATATGTGCAGGTGCCCTACCGGTAACTTCACTAGCGTCTCTCCAAGTAGAAATGGGAGAAGCCCCATTAGATCTTAGGAGACAACAACTAGCCCTAAAATATAAGCACAGCATAGAACAGCAACCTAAGCATCCAGTTTTTCCAAGTTTACAACCTTGTTGGCAGTATCAGTATATGAAAGGAAAACAGTGCAACAAACCGTTTGGTTATCGAACAGAAAACTCTAACAAACACCTTTCTGTAGAAAAATTAAAACCCCTAAACTTCCCCCCATGGTTACTAACGGAGCCTGTTATATCAATTGAATTGGCTAGTCAGATAAACAAATCTGATAATCCACTACTTTTGCAACAGAGAAGTTTAGAAATAATAAACACAAAATGGTTCAGCCAACTTCACATATTCACAGATGGGTCCAAACTTCCTAAAGAAGGACGTTGTTCTGCAGCTTTCTATGTTCCTTACTTCGCGTGTAAACAATCAAAGAGATTGTCTGACGGAACATCCTCATATAGAGCTGAGCTGGCGGGGATAATGCTGGCCCTCAATTGGTTACACCAGTTAGATACTTTATATGTAGGATCAGTTATATTCAGCGACTCATTAAGTGCCTTAGTAGCAATAAAGAACAAAAAAGAAGAGAATTTTATTTCAGAAATACTTGTAAGCATATCCCACCTTAAATTAAAAAATATAAATGTTAGCTTTGAATGGATTCCCTCCCACTGTGGAATAACGGGAAATGAATGTGCGGATTTTCATGCTAAGGCAGCCCTCAGCAAACACATTGAAATAACAAACAGCCTTAATATCTCAGAAGTGAACAGCATTTTAGAGAGGCATTTTACCGAGCTGTGGCAATTAAGATGGCAGGTTTCTCCAAATACACATTACAAAACAATCCAAAAATCGGTTGCACAAACCTTCAATTGCAAACTAGAGCGAGCAAAAGAAAAGATAATACGTCGTTTACGACTTGGACACATTGGTCTTAACGCGGATCTAGGCCGAATGGGAATACATCCAACTGGACACTGTAACTCGTGTCGAGAAGTAGAAACCACTGAACACTTTATAGCAAAGTGCCCGAAATATTTAATTGAAAGATCCATGCTACTCGCTGAAACAGATTGTATAAATCCCGACGATATTTTAAGGCTCTTAAATTCATCAGAAGCTAACATTCAAAACGCTTTATACCGTTTCGTTCTAAGAACGAAACGTTTCAACTAACCCAAAATAATCGAGCATTTTTTTTTTTTTTTTTTTTTTTTTTTTTTGTTTTTGCACCACCACTCACAAAAGCCCACATTTTGTTTGTTTCCCCTAAAAAGTTTAATTATCCAATGCAACATGTATTATAAACACCACTCTATCACAAAATTGTTTTTCTTTTGATCGAAGATTCATTAAAGTCTGCGAGGTCGCTCAAAGCCAATTTCCCCGGAAAAGTACCCTCTTGATTTTATAATTGTTGATCAATTCCTTTCTTCTTTCGAGTTTCCAGATTATTTATGTATCCCAAAGGGAGCCCCCTGTCTACACCCGAGAGACAGGACGGTGTCTGGACGGTGTCTTAGAACGGACAGGACTACGCGGTAACCTACAGGATACAAAAATCTACATTTTGTCGTATTTTTATTTATTTATTTATTTATTTATATATTTTTTTTTCTTCATCTATTTTCTCTTTCATTTCATTTTAAGGGGGAAAAAAAAGAATTAAAAAAAAAGAGAGAAGCCTATATTTAAATTATATTTTTGATACTCTTATTTTTTTTAAAAAGAGAAAGAAAGAAATTAATATTAAAAAGAAAGGCGTTGGTGATAATAGTCGGGTTTTGACTGATTGCCATTACAACAAAAAACAACAACAACAGTATTCATACTGTTCTTCCTGTGGGCCCTGCAATCATATTATTACCCTGTTCATTGGATTCAGGCTTACCCGTGCACAATATATTGACTTTCAGAAATTTTAAACAGGCCCGAGGGAATTGGCATGTCATTGCCGGGACAAAGTCCAAAATGACATTTAAATTCTGTGTGAAATCTGATCAAAGTACAGATCCTATCCTCTTGCAGCGCCCAAAACTCAATCCACCTAGACTGAGACAGGCAGTTCCCATCAAGGCACAGCTACTGAGTGGTGTATACCCCACCAACTCTTGTAAACAAACCCATCAACCCAGAGAAATCCTCCTGCTGCTCCTGTGGAGAAACTACCGAGTCAATCATCCACATGGTGGGTGAGTGCCCTCACAGAGACAATTTCATAGCTCACTGGCCAAGACGCTGGGAGAGCCATTATTCCAACTTGAAAATGAAGGGTTAATGCTTCACAAAGCTATCGCTGCTTGGGCCTTGGCTCCTGCTCGATGCTCTCACACCTCTTTCATATTTCATACTTGACCTCCATGTTCAGATGTTAAACGTTCCACTACATAGATGATGCCACCTTTTAACCTGCCTTTCCTTTTTATATGTGTACTACCAACACCTGCACCAACTGCAGTTCTCCAAAATGGAGGAAGCCAAGCCAAGAAGAAGAAGAAGAAGTACATGTAGCATACGTACATGTATGTATCTATCTCTCTCTCTCTCTTTCTTTACGGCCCCCAAACTCCGGGGTAGCTTTTGTTCGTACCGATACGGTACTTCATGTACCTTGGTCCTTGCGAGTCTTTGACTTTTTTGTGTGAGTCAAGTGAAAAATGATAGATCTAGTAAGCACTAATTAATAATTGTTTAATATTTCGGTCATTCTAGAGTAGATACTAATTACCTGGCGGCATGGCCGGACCATAAGAAGCCATATTTATGGATATTTCAGTCGAATTCTCCCAGTCCCAACGAAACCCAGTTTCACTTGCTTATTGAGGCTATTGAGCGCATGCGCTAAACACAAATTATGAATATTCATTAGACTCTATTATGTATTGCATAAGTTCGCTTTCCTTGGCCTTGCATGTTGTGTTCTGCCGCGATCAACACTGCTCTGCACTCCCGACTGCACTGTCTAGCTAACGAAGTTTTTGGTAAGAAGAATGTACCTTTTAAGCGAACATTTTATTCTAAATAGGTGACATGAACTCAACATATTTTACATTAGTTTGTGATGTGAAAGTAGCTTAATCATCATGATACATTAGTTGTGCTGAAATAGATTTTGAAGAGAAGCCCCATGCACATGACCATGTGTATGGTTATTCGATCGTGTGTGTTGACCATGTTGACATAGTTGAGAGCTGAAAGTGAGATCGAAAGAGTCCCTGAGGCCCAATATCGCAAATGCCACAAATGTCACAGATTGTTGGAATGTGATCTATGATTCCTCATTTTCTGCAAATGTGTATTCAGATCAACCAAATGATAGCACAATTTTGAATGACAGATTGGGCAAATAAAAATAAAAAATAATGATTAATGACAAAGTCAAATTAAGAATTTCAGAAATGTTGCAGTCTCATGATTGAGAAACAAACAAATATGATAAAATTTATAAAACAATATATGTTCTTAAATTTATGGAATGTTTCCTCAACAGATAAATGATAACCTTTTCTGTCCAAGGACTTAAGCTTGGACACCATTGTCAGTGTTGGAAAGTGGTGTTTTTATCCAGGTAATATTATAAGTTCTTTCTATCGATCACGCTTAAGAATTTCTGAATTTTCTCAAATGATATTTTATGCAATAATGTTGATGATTCAAGTAGCAACACATCTCCCGTCCCACCCTCCCCTCCCTCCCCTCCCTCTCCCTCCCCTCCCTCTCCCTCCCCTCCCTCTCCCTCCTGTCCCCTCCCTAATTCCCCTCCCTTCCCCTCCTCTCCCCTCCCTTCCCCTCCATTCCCCTCCTGTCCCCTCCCTAATTCCCCTCCCTTCCCCTCCTCTCCCCTCCCTTCCCCTCCATTCCCCTCCTGTCCCCTCCTAGACCGAATTTTCCGTCTCTTTCGTTCGTTAGCCTCTTATTGGGGTAGGGTCGGCCGGCTCTCTCTTTAGAGACGGAAGCCGTTTATACACATGTCCTTGCTAACGCCACGGCCAGTCCTGGTCGTAGCGTTTTGCCCCCAAAATCCCCCAAAATGTCATTTTACCTCGAGCATGTTATATTGTAAATTAGGCCTAGGCTATAATAAATCAGTTCCACTTACCAACTTGACTGAAATAATCAGTTTAATAGTCCCTTTTTAGGAAATTATGGGTCAAAATCGAAATCCATTTTGAAAATCTTTTTCAACATGGATTCCGATTTTGACCCATAATTTCCTAAAAAGGGACTATTAAACTGATTATTTCAGTCAAGTTGGTAAGTGGAACTGATTTATTATAGCCTAGGCCTAATTTACAATATAACATGGTCGAGGTAAAATGACATTTTGGGGGATTTTGGGGGCAAAACGCTACGACCAGGACTGGCCGTGGCGTTAGCAAGGACATGTGTATAAACGGCTTCCGTCTCTAAAGAGAGAGCCGACCCTACCCCAATAAGAGGCTAACGAACGAAAGAGACGGAAAATTCGGTCTAGTCCCCTCCCTAATTCCCCTCCCTTCCCCTCCCTTCCCCTCCCTTCCCCTCCCTTCCCCTCCCTCCCCCTCCCTCCCCTCCCTTCCCCTCCCTTCCCCTCTCTTCCCCTCCCTTCCCCTCCCTTCCCCTCCCTTCCCCTCCCTTCCCCTCCCTTCCCTCCCTTCCCCTCCTGTCCCCTCCCTAATTCCCCTCCCTTCCCCTCCTCTCCCCTCCCTTCCCCTCCATTCCCCTCCTGTCCCCTCCCTAATTCCCCTCCCTTCCCCTCCCTTCCCCTCCCTTCCCCTCCCTTCCCCTCCCTTCCCCTCCCTTCCCCTCCCTTCCCCTCCCTTCCCCTCCCTTCCCCTCCCTTCCCCTCCATCCCTTAAGGCCCTTTTAACTCAATGCTGAGTTTCCCGTCGCCTCCCGGCGTATGCGATCGAAAATCCGAAAAATATTTTTTTCTTGTTGTTGTTTGTTTGTTTTTTGTTTTTTGTTTTTTGTTTTCCTTTTTATGAAAATTATTTTGTAATTGTTACAAATAGACTTGTTTTTTTCGGGGGAAAATTCCATAAAAAATTGTTTTTATCCCACTTTCAGTATTACAAGAAGTAGGTTGATTTTTAATTATATACATAAAAACAACATTGTAATTTTGTTCATATAATTTTTTAACAATAAATAAAATCACTAAACATTCTGACATGTGAATGTTAATTGTAAATGATACAAATGTGATTAATAGTCAACATAATTCTGAATGCAATTTCGAACTTATATCAAATATGGTAGAAAAAAGAAAAGAAACGAAAAAAAAAATCGGAAAAATTTCTTTCCCACTACTACTACTGCTACTGCAGCTGCTATCATTATTATCATTATTAGAACATAACAATGCTCAAGAATCATTTAACATTACTTTATTTTTACATCACTTGAGTCGATGAAATCTTTTATCCAACAGATTCATTCCATCACGCTCATATTCTTCCATAATGGGAAAGGACGGCCAAACAGCCAAGAGGTCAAGTGAAGGTCAAGACAATGGTGAAACAAGTGCCGCCAAAAAGGTGACTAAATTATTAACGGGAGATGTGCGTCAGTTTCCATGTGCAGAAGGTTCACAAACACTAGACTTAGGGAACTACTATTAATGGTTGTACAAGTCTCGCACAGAGCAAACCAGTAATCCCATCAAGAAATACCCCCTAGTCTCTCGGAGAGTCTTTGGGTGAGGGAAATGTAAGATAATTATGTTACCAAATTGGGGAGGGGGGGGGGGAGGGGGGGGGGGGGGATTGGTGGAAAATGCAGAGCATTACATTAGGCCTGTTGATCATATAACTTAAGGCTAATCCTGGTAATTGACAACACCTGCTACCTGGGGAAACAAACCTGAATGGTGTTGAATGAGAGCTAGTCCACTACTATGTGTTTTTAAAGACTGGACTCTCAAACTGATGATTGCGATTGGATGTAGTGTGCTTAACCCCTTCCACGCTACAGGTGGCGAATGTGCCCAACTTTCCCAAGAGTATGGGTGTTCTATACTTAAATTTGGATTTTGAAACGTACCTCCATGATAAAATTATTCCACTTAGAAGATATTTAAAAGAAAAGAGAAGAATTATGCAAGATATGACATTAAAACAGGTTTCAGAATTTGTTTGTGTGGAAAATTAGGACAATGGATATCACTGTGGTTGATCTAACATTGGCACCGGTGACAATGACCTCTGAGCTTTATTCCATCAAAAAGTATAGGGTAAAGGTTAGGGTTGCAAATGGTTTTTAAGTAAGGTTTAGGTTTAGGTAAATTGTTTGGTCCATGATTGATGTTTTAAACTCGGTTAACGTAGGACATTTCCATGAATCAGTTGTCAATGGGCCATTAATACAACCATACCTGTCAATATTTATAAAAAAAGAAATCTCATTCATTAAAGATGACCTATGTTTCTAGCTTCTATCAAGTGCACACATAAAAAGGAATAATTCTTATTAGGCCTGTCTTCATCAGTTTGAGATTGCCAAATATCCCGCTATTTGAACTATCCCGATCACAAATTATCCAGTTAATTTGCGTTTTAATCAGCCCTAGGTTGCAATTAGCAGGATATTTGGTTGAGATAATCATCCCAAGTTATCTTGGGCTAGTTTACAAAATATTCTGCTATTCGGCAAAATATTCCACTATTTGTCCGGGGCGTCTTCGACAGCCCAAAGACTCGCAATATGCGCGAACGCTGAGCAAAATATCTCGAGCTAATTTTTCGAGGTCAAGTTCCAAGTTTTGAGGTGAAGTCTTGAGCTGATGAAAACGCGATTTGTAACTAAGGGATTATTTCATAATTTTGGAGCGGGCTATTTGGCCATCTCCAGCTGATGAGGACAGGCCTAATAATACATTTTGTCTCCCTCTACAGGTGAAGAAAGAAGAGGATGGAGCCGAGGTTCAAGATCTCCAAACCAAGGTGGCAAGCCTCCGGAATGCTTCTGGAAGCTCCATCCTCAACTTCCAGTTCAACAAGAAGCGTGTGAAGATCCTCTCTGACACAATGGACATCGCAGAAGACAACAGAGGCATTGTCTACTGGATGAGCAGAGACCAGAGAGTCCAAGGTAGGGGATTGCTTGGTAGTGGCTCTTTGGGGGGGGGGAGGGGGTAGTGGTAGTGGCTCTTTGGGGGGTAGTGGTAGTGGCTCTTTGGGGGTATGGGGTAGTGGTAGTGGCTCTTTGGGGGTAGAGAGTAGTGGTAGTAGCTCTTTGGGAGTAGGGGGTAGTGGTAGTAGCTCTTTGGGGGTAGGGGGTAGTGGTAGTAGCTCTTTGGGAGTAGGTGTGGTGGTAGTGGCTCTTTGAGGGTAGGGGGTAAAGGTAGTGGCTCTTTGGGGGTAGGGGGTAGTGGTAGTAGCTCTTTGGGGGTAGGGGGTAGTGGTAGTGGCTCTTTGGGGTAGGGGGTAGTGGTAGTAGCTCTTTGGGAGTAGGTGTGGTGGTAGTGGCTCTTTGAGGGTAGGGGGTAAAGGTAGTGGCTCTTCGGGGGTAGGGGGTAGTGGTAGTGGCTCTTTGGGGGTAGGGGGTATTGGCTCTTTGGGGGTAGGGGGTAGTGGTAGTGGCTCTTTGGGGGTAGGGGGTAGTGGTAGTGGCTCTTTGAGGGTAGGGGGTAAAGGTAGTGGCTCTTTGGGAGTAGGGGGTAGTGGTAGTAGCTCTTTGGGAGTAGGTGTGGTGGTAGTGGCTCTTTGAGGGTAGGGGGTAAAGGTAGTGGCTCTTTGGGAGTAGGGGGTAGTGGTAGTAGCTCTTTGGGGGTAGGGGGTAGTGGTAGTAGCTCTTTGGGGGTACGGGGTAGTGGTAGTGGCTCTTTGGGGGTAGGGGGTAGTGGTAGTAGCTCTTTGGGAGTAGGTGTGGTGGTAGTGGCTCTTTGAGGGTAGGGGATAATGGTAGTGGCTCTTTGGGGGTAGGGGGTAGTGGCTCTTTGGGGATAGGGGGTATTGGCTCTTTGGGGGTAGGGGGTAGTGGTAGTGGCTCTTTGGGGGTAGGGGGTAGTGGTAGTGGCTCTTTGAGGGTAGGGGGTAAAGGTAGTGGCTCTTTGGGAGTAGGGGGTAGTGGTAGTTGCTCTTTGGGAGTAGGTGTGGTGGTAATAATAATAATTACAGTGCTTATATAGCGCCTAACACTTACTTCGTCAGAAGTCTCTAAGCGCTCTACAATAATGCAGCATAATTACCCTGGTAGTGGCTCTTTGAGGGTAGGGGGTAAAGGTAGTGGCTCTTTGGGAGTAGGGGGTAGTGGTAGTAGCTCTTTGGGGGTAGGGGGTAGTGGTAGTAGCTCTTTGGGGGTACGGGGTAGTGGTAGTGGCTCTTTGGGGGTAGGGGGTAGTGGTAGTAGCTCTTTGGGAGTAGGTGTGGTGGTAGTGGCTCTTTGAGGGTAGGGGGTAATGGTAGTGGCTCTTTGGGGGTAGGGGGTAGTGGTAGTAGCTCTTTGGAGGTACGGGGTAGTGGTAGTGGCTCTTTGGGGGTAGGGGTAGTGGTAGTAGCTCTTTGGGAGTAGGTGTGGTGGTAGTGGCTCTTTGAGGGTAGGGGTAAAGTTAGTGGCTCTTTGGGGGTAGGGGGTAGTGGTAGTAGCTCTTTGGGGGTAGGGGGTATTGGCTCTTTGGGGGTAGGGGGTAGTGGTAGTGGCTCTTTGGGGGTAGGGGGTAGTGGTAGTGGCTCTTTGGGGGGAGGGGGTAGTGGTAGTGGCTCTTTTGGGGTAGGGGGTAGTGGTAGTGGCTCTTTGGGAGTAGGTGTGGTGGTAGTGGCTCTTTGAGGGTAGGGGGTAGTGGTAGGTGGTAGTGGTAGTGGCTTTTTGGGGGTAGGGGGTAGTGGTAGTGGCTCTTTGGAGGGGAGGGGATAGTGGTAGTGGCTCTTTGGGGGTAGGGGGTAGTGGTAGTGGCTCTTTTGGGGGAGGGGGTAGTGGTAGTGGCTCTTTGGGGGTAGGGGGTAGTGTAGTGGCTCTTTGGGGGTAGGGGGTAGTGGTAGTCGCTCTTTGGGGGTAGAGGTAGTGGCTCTTTGGAGGGGAGGGGATAGTGGTAGTGGCTCTCTTGGGGTAGGGGGTAGTGGTAGTGGTTCTTTGGGGGTAGGGGGTAGTGGTAGTGGCTCTTTGGGGGTAGAGGTAGTGGCTCTTTGGAAGGGAGGGGATAGTGGTAGTGGCTCTCTTGGGGTAGGGGGTAGTGGTAGTGGCTCTTTTGGGGGAGGGGATAGTGGTAGTGGCTCTTTTGGGGTAGGGGATAGTGGTAGTGGCTCTTTTTTTTTTTGGGGGGGGGGGCTGTCTTCAAGCCCTACCCCCTATTCTCACAAGGCACATGTAGAAGATAAACACAACAATTATTCTAAGTTCTGCTTCGATCTGAGCATGCTGATATACGTGACAATGATCAATTCCAAAAAATTAAGCTTACTGTTGTATATGACATACTCTGCTGTCATTTACACTCTACAGTAATTGAATTCCTAATTTCAACACTCTACCTTTCTCTCACCCTAGTCCTCAAACTAACATAAAACTCAACCGAATCCATTGCTGTAACCTTACATCTTTAATTTTAAAAAGCCCATAACAATTATCACTTGAGCATATGTTGGGAAACTTAATTTGCACTATGCTCCAGCGTGAATTGCCATATTTCATCAAAGTCATAGGGTAAGTGTTGTATGTGCTTGGTTTTAAGTTTTGGTTTCGGGTTAGAGTTATGAATAGTATTAGGTCAGTCCAGGGTTGTAGTTAGGAATTTGGTTAGTGTAGAAAAAAATTAGTGCAGAGCAACTGTCACAGGAGCAAGTGTTGCACAAACCTTGGAGCTAACTGTATTGTTGGAGATTGAAGTCATCGTATAGACTATGCTTATGATGGAGGAGGGGGAAGGGGTTAATGACCTGGGGTATTTCCTGAGATGGTCCTTTTTCTACACCTGGTAGGTGGGGGTATTTTGTAAAAATGTGGGGAAGCCAGGGGGCCTTCTACTAAGGGTATGTGGGTAACTGTAGGGGATGGGGTTTAGTTTGAAAGTATTCCCCTCTTTATCTCTTGCAGATAACTGGGCTCTCTTGTTTGCGCAACGCTTGGCCATGAAACAGGAGGTCCCTCTTCATGTCTGCTTCTGTCTCGTTCCCAAGTTCCTTGAAGGCACCATCAGGCATTTCAACTTTGTCCTCGAAGGACTCAAAGAAGTCTCTCAGGTAAGTTCCATTTTTTTTTCTCCAGGATTTTCTTGAGCTGTCATTTGCTCCAGCAATATTTGCTCTAGGCTAGTTATGTGTATGTTCATACAACATCTGGATTCTTAAAAAAATAAACAGTTTCTTAAAAAAGAGGACATTGCAGAAGTTCATGCGTTTAATTGTAACACATATTAATTATTTGAGTCAATAAATGAAGAGATGTACTGTGGCGAGGAGAACTTCAAGGCACGGTATGTGATCAGAAGGATTTTGTAGGTGAGACGATGTTCAACAGGAAGCCAATGCAGGGATTTAAGGACTGGAGTGATGTGGGCGAACTTGCGTGTATATGTCACGAGACGGGCAGCAGCATTCTGAACAAGCTGGAGCCTCTTAACTTGAGACATAGGGATGCCATAGAGTAAAGAGTTACAACAATCGATGCGGGATGTAACAAATGCATGCACAAGCTGCTCAGCCGCCTTTGTGGTGAGATACTTGCGAATAGCACGAAGATTGCGGAGACTGTGGATCGCAAGTTTAACACTTGATGATACTTGTGACTCCATGGTCATATTGGAGTCAAAAATAACTCCAAGATTTCGAACTTTCTTCACTGGAGTAATTGATGACGACCCAATATTCAGATAGGGGGTTACCGACTTGGCGAGTTGCTGCTTGGAACCCAGCATAACAAACTGAGATTTGTCGTCATTGAGCTTCAAGTAATTCTCCTTCATCCAATTCCTAATGTCACCTATACAGGCTTCAACACGAGCAATCCAGGCATCAACTTCCCCTTGTGTGGGAGAACACGAAAAGTATATCTGCGTGTCATCAGCATACATATGGTGCTTGAGATTATGCCTCTTGATGATATCATGAAGGGGAAGAGTGTAAATGTTGAAGAGTTGTGGCCCAAGTACCGATCCCTGGGGCACAGAGGAGCCAAGATGAACTGTCTTAGAGACAGCACTGCGTACACAAACCCTTTGCGATCTGTTTGAGAGATAAGATGTTAACCACTGGTGAGCCTGTCCACCAATGCCCATAGACTGAAGTCTCTCTAGGAGTATAACATGGTCGACCGTGTCAAATGCACTACTCAGATCGAGCAGAATTAGCCCAGTTACTTTTCCACTATCCATTTCGGTGAGGATATCATTTTGCACTCGTAAGAGGGCAGTTTCAACACTGTGTTTTTCTCTGTAGGCTGATTGGAAGTTGTCTTGAAGGTTATTGTCATTCAAGAAGGACTGAAGACGAGCGGATACTATGCGTTCGATAACCTTCGATAGGAAGCTTAGATTTGCCACAGGTCGATAACTTGCAAAGTCTTGTCTGTCAAGATTCGGTTTTTTCAAGAGAGGCTTCACGAGAGCCTGTTGCATTGAGGCTGGAAAGCTTGCACATCGAAGAGACTTATTAACAAAGTCTGTAATATATGGTGCAAAGTCGTCAATGCATTCTTTTAGAAGAGCAGTAGGAATTGGATCTAACTCACATGATGATGTTGGAGAATTCATGACAACCCTCTTGATCTCACTAATAGAAGTTTTAGCGAAATCAGTCAAAACTGGAACAGATGATAACTCACAATGCTGTACACACTGTCCTGACGAAAACTCGGCATCAATGTCATCACGGATCTTGGTGACCTTGTTGAAGAAATAATGACAAAAGTTATCAGCCAGTATTTGGTCAGAAGAAGCATCCGGAAGAACAGTTTCCTTCTTTCGGTGCAGCAGAGCGTCTACAACAGTGAAGAGACGTCTTTGGTTTCCTTCGCATTCTGCACTGAAGCTTCAGTGGTTTCCTTCGCATTCTCTACTGAACTTTCGCAAGCCTGGTCGTTCTGGTCTGCGTTCTACCAATACATCAACTCTGATCATCCCTAAGACCAGACGATCATGGGGAGATCGAGCATTTGCCTCAGCAGCTCCCCTATTGTGGAACAGTCTCCATAACACACTTAAGGACTGTAAATCAGTAGATAGTTTCAAGGCCAGCCTGAAAACTTATCTAATGGCCAACTTTAACTAATATCATCTTCTTCCTTTTTTATGTGTAATGTGTAATGTATTGTAAGTAAAATTGTATTTAAGTATATTATGTAGCTCGATCATTGTAAGCGCCTTGAGCACCCTCTGGGTGGATATGTCGCGCTATAAAAATGTCTTTATTATTATTATTATTAATGAAGAAAAAAAATATTTCTAAGGGTTTTGTAGTGACCTGTTGCTTTTAATATGGTCGATAATCTACTTCATGATTTCTACTCTATTAATTGTCAAACTGCAGGAACTGCACCTCTTGGACATCTCATTCCATCTATTGATTGGGTATGCCAAGGATGTCCTACCTGGGTTCATCAAGGATCATGGGTTGGGAGCAGTGGTGACAGACTTCTCTCCTCTCAGGACATCCAGCCAATGGGTCACAGATGTCAAGGAAGAGCTTCCAAAGAATATACCTTTTTGTCAGGTAAAATATGATGATGGAGGCGATGATGATGGTGATAGTGATGATGATGACGATGGTGGTGATTTTGATTTTGATGGTGATTTTGATGGTGATGATAGTGATGATGATGATAGTGATGATGATGATGATGATGATAGTGATGATGATGATAATGATGATGATGATGATGATAGTGATGATGATGATGATGATGATGATAGTGATAGTGATGATGATGATGATGATGATGATGATAATGATAGTGATGATGAGGATGATGATGATGATGATGATGATGATGATGATGATGATAATGATAGTGATGATGATAATTATAATGATAGTGATGATGATGATAATGATGATGATGATAATGATAGTGATGATGATAATTATAATGATAGTGATGATGATGATGATGATGATGATGATGATGATGATAGTGATAGTGATGAAAGTGATGATGATGATGATAGTGATAGTGATGATGATGATAGTGATGATAGTGATGATGATGATAGTGATAGTGATGATGATGATGATAATGATAATGATGATGATGATGATGATAGTGATAGTGATGATAGTGATGATGATGATAGTGATGATGATGATGATGATAGTGATGATGATGGTGATGATAATGATGATGATAGTGATGATAGTGATGATTATGATAGTGATGATGATGATAGTGATGATGATGATGATGATAGTGATGATAGTGATGATGATGATGATGGTGATGATGGTGATGATAATGATGATGATGATGATTTTTTCAATGATGATGATGATGGTAGTGATAGTGATGATGATGATGATAGTGATGGTGATGATGAAGTTAATGGTGATAATGGGGGTGGTGGTGATGATTATAATGATGTTGGTGGTAATGGTGATGATGGTAATGATGGTAATGATGATGATGATGATGATTGTGATGGTGATGATGATTATGATGATGGTAATGATGATGATGATCATATCATAAATCATTTCCAACGTACATGTACATATCCTGTCAGGTAATTTATTATCTAAAAGTTCTTCTGTAACCAAGCCAATTGTTGATAAGATGACAGCCTTATTTCATACTAATTGTATGTCCCATGTAATTTATTTTCCATGGAACTAAGATTTTTAGCTGCAGTGTCGAGCTTTGATTAATCATATTTAATCAAATCATGAAATCATTTTGTTTAATTCCGTTTAATCCATGCCTGTAGGTTGATGCACACAACGTAGTTCCGTGTTGGGAGGCATCCAATAAGCTAGAGTATGGTGCCCGAACTATCCGTCCAAAGATTACCAAACAGTTGAGCACCTACCTCACCGAGTTCCCTCCAGTCATCTGCCATCCTCAGAAGGCTAAGGCCAAAGCAGAGGTGAACATTCTTTTTATATGACACATCATCTGGTGACCGTTGTTCCATGGGCAATTTTTAGACTTCTTCTTTAACTGAGTTCCTAGTTAATATCAACTTTGGCCAAACACTAAACTTACCTAATCATAACCTGAACCCTCGCCCTAAACCAAACCGAACCTAAAACCTAGTCGCAGCTCTTACCCGAACTTTCAATGAAATAAAGCCTAGAGGAAATGTCTGATCACTGAATATTGTAGCTTATTGAGTTGTGATATTTTCTGGATGATAAAAAGAGGAGTATGTGTTGTATTTTGGGTTAAAGATCAAACAGCATGATGTAGTTTTATCTGATTTTAGAGAAAAAATTAGCCCTTTGTTGTGAAGATATTAGGCAATGATTGTGAGAAGTCTTATTTTTTGTTAGATGTTGTGTCGTTCCCCCCACCCCATCCCTTGGTCGTTACGAGAAATTTTTGCCCTTGGTGGTAATGAAATGATATAAACCAAGCTATGTCGTAAACCTGTACTGCTAGTTGTAAGTATAAAGTGAGATGATAATCCAGTGTGGAGCCATAGAAATAAGTGTTCTATTATCTTTGATACTCTCAGACTCTTCACCCTGTCTAGCTTCATTCAATTTTTAAATTAAACATTGCATTCTACTCTTTTACAGCCCATAGACTGGGAGGGGGCCTATGCTAGCCTAGAAGTAGACCAGACCGTCAAACCTGTAGACTGGGCCAAACCCGGGACCTCGGAGGGTATGAAGATGCTGGACTCGTTTGTCAAGGAGAGGTTGAGGTACTTCAGCAGTGCTAGGAATGATCCAACCAAGAGTGTCTGCAGTAACCTCTCACCATGGATCCACTTTGGTAAGCTTCACCGGCCAAGCCTCCCTGTGGTTCTAAGCCCACCTCCTACTTAGTTACATTTTTATTGCTTTTTCAAGTCTACACAATTAACCCACCCCCCCCCCCCTTCCCCCTTCCTTTAAAAAAAAGGGAGTGAAGAATTATTAAATGAGGTGTTTAAAGGGATCCGGTAACTTTGTCTCAGATTCTGAAAACATATTCTGGATTTAGCTCATGATGCAATGATAATTATAGACCTTTAGGCCAGTCAGGAACCCCGTGACTATTACAAGCCGATCGCCTGTCTGATTATCAAGATATTTATGATTGGAATTACAATATTTGAAAACCGTTCGCCTGACGGTTTTCATTACACTACAGCCTATTGGGGGAAACAAGTATGGTAAAACCGGTCACTCAAAGATTTTTACTTTTTTGAGGCACTTCTTGATCATTTTGAAGCGCAATTTTTTTAGGGCTTCAATATTACATCATATCACAGACACTGATAACACGTAGGGCCGTGTATCTCAGATTTAACATTGTTAAACGATCCCTTTAAAGGGAGTAGTGATACAGTCAAACCTGTCTACAGCGACCGCCCAAGGGAAACACAAAAAGTGGTCTTTGTAGACAAGTGGTCTTTGTAGCAAGGCTCCTTTAGTACATGTTTCAACGAGAAACCATTTTCAAGGGAAACAAAAAATGTGCTGTTGTAGACAGGTGCTTGTTGTAGACAGGTGCTCTTTGTAGACAGGTGGTCTTTGTAGACAGGTGGTCTTTGTAGACAGGTGGTCACTAAAGCAGGTTTGACTGTACCAGCCTTTGTGCCCTGAATGCCGTAATCTGTATTTGCCACACTCTACCCGGGTGAATAAACGGGTACCAGGTAGGAAGTCTGAATGTTTGAGCATCTTATCATGATAGCTCAGCTAAAGCTGTGGTAATGAAGGTCCAGGGAAATGGCATTTTTTAAATCCAACTATTCATTATCATCTCTCTGTCTACTTCATTTATTGATAACAATTAAACAGGATCAAGTGGATGTAGAACAGAGCAAATCATTATTAAAGATAAAGTTGAGTTCTGGTCATGCGATTGCATTGTGAAAGAAAAGGTGTGGAATGAATCAGAAAAAGTTAATCATGTAGCATGTAAGTATTGGTGTGTACTGCAAGGTATAGGAGTCATCAAAATTATAATAAATTTGGCCCAGTCTTGGTAAGTAACAAGCACTGTACACAGAAAGATGTATATGGGACTACACGAACATGTGGGGTAAAAATCCATCCCGATTTTTATGATGTTACATGACATGTTTTATCTGATGTTCTTCCACACTTGCATTATAACAATGATAACGCTCACAAATTGATTTTCACCTCTTCCCAGAACTCAATTAAACAGGATCAAGTGGATGTAGAACAGATCAAATCATTATGAATTATATAATTAATTTTGTATCACTGTTATTATCATCATTCTCTCTGCATACAGGTCAGTTGTCAAGCCAGCGTGCTGCCCTCATTGTCCGACTCTATAGAAGTCGCTTCAGTGAATCTGTTGCAGCCTTCATAGAGGAGTCCATCATCAGACGAGAATTGTCAGATAATTTCTGTTTCTACAACGACAAATATGACTCTATTGAAGGCAAGTGATTTGAAAGGGTGACAGTTTTTCTTGGGTTATTTTGTTAAAGATATATAGGGCACAGATTGGATTTAGGTTTTAGCTTAAAAAGGATTAGAGTTAGGGTTATTATGTGATAAGGTCCATGTTGTAAATAAGGAATGGAGCGAATGTATGTAATTGACTGCTGAGTAATTATGGTAGGAGTATGTGTGGTTCAACCAGAAGCCATGTTCACCCCATCCTCACTTGTCGCTCAGACCTCAAAACCAGAGATTCCTCACTAAAAACAAAACTGAAATTATCGAGCATGTTATTCTACCAGGATGTTCTCAGGTTTGTAAGTTGAGTAAAAAGTAGCCAAATCTTTATTTTGAAACAATTCTTTGAACACATTTGTGATAAGCTTTAAAGCCCCACTGTCCTACTTGTAGCTACTTTCTCCCTCTATATAGAAAACTTCCCCAATCGGTGCTTGTTGGTCCCCCATGATCCTCTTTTTCTTATGTTAGTTGAGAGCTGAGTTAATGAGATAGCCACCTGTCAGTGACCTCGCTGTGTGGTCTAATCCCTTCTTGCCCTGTAGTATTGACGGTCTTTAAGGAGTACAGTGTATTGGTAAAGAATCTCCTTTCAAGCATCTAAAATATTAACTATATCTAATGTGCAATTTGATTTAAAAACTTTCCTGGATCTATTGTAATTAGTCTTGAACTGAATAAATTGAACTAACAACCTGCATTACAAAAACGTGGCTCCTCCTATGTCTTATGAAAACTTCCAATGAAAGAAAGTCATTTGATGGGATTATAATTGTTGCCAATTGAAGGAACCAATGACTGGGCCAAGAAGACGTTAAAGGACCATGCAAAGGACAAGAGAGATTATGTGTATAGCAGAGAGACACTGGAGAGGGCTAAGACATATGATCAACTCTGGAACAGTGCACAGGTAATTCTTTTACTTTACTCGGTCCCTGTTTCATAAAACTTGTTATCAATATCAAGTTACAAGCTACTGTTATAAGCTACTGAAATCATGGCATCTGATTGGCTGAGAGCATATTTGTCATAGAAATTTAGTTGTTGTTATAGATAATAAGTTTTATGAAACAGGCCCTTTGAGCCTGTGGTACTCTGATATATGACCCAGTACTCTGTTTCATCAGTTGCGATTGATCCAAATCAATCGCAAGTCGATCCTCCTATCAATCGCAAGTTTGCAGTCTCCTATCTCTTATGTACATAGTTGCGATTGATATCAACTCTTTGTAAGACGGGGTCCAGTACTCTATTTCATCAAAGATGTAAGGTCATGGTTAGGCCATATGCAATATAACCACATTTGTATTAAAGTGCCTTGATGAAATTATTTCATTCACCTGTTACAAATAATTTTATTTCAGTAGTTAGAATTCAAATTGCATATGGTATATGTGTGGTTAGGTAGAGCACACCATAATATTTTGCCCTACCTAGCAACAAGTAATGTATGCAAATTCACATTCTGACTGTTGAGATACATTTATTTGTAACAGGTGAATGAAATAACTTGTATCAAGGCACTACACAAAGGTATATGGGTTGAAGTTATAATAGATTGCATTGGAATAGGATATTTACTGCGGAGCAATTGTTGCTGGAGCAATGTGTTGTAAAAACATGCCCTTGATTTGTTTATTTTATATTCATCTGTGAAGAAAAAAAAAAACATGAGACAAATTCATATTGTCATTTTGAATTGAATATGCTAAGGGAATGTATAGACTATAAAGGGTCAATACAAAAAAGCAATGTCATATGAGTAAAACCCCCTCTATAGTTTAGTTGGTGCTATGTAGATTGTAAGGCTGTCTAGCCATGCTAATCTATCATCAATCATTCATTGTATTAAGTCTAAGTCTTTCATGTTGTGACTTTTGCATGTTCCCCTCTGTATGACCTCTGTTGAATTTACAATTCATTCGCAGAGCTTTATAATATGTGTTCTTTTTATAGAGTGTAATGCAAACCAGGCGGGTGTTTCACAAAGATGCTAAGTTGGACTTAACATTTATGGAAAGCCGTTAGCAGCTATGAAAGTATTTTGTAAAAGTTTTTTTTTTAAAGCATAAAATGTTGAATCAAATCATTCATATTTTCTATTATCAAGGAGATCTCGTGTTGTCGATGTGGAATTTTTAAAAAGCCTGAAATATTTGAATTTTATATTATATTTTAAGGCTACAAATGGCTCTCCATAATTTTTAAGTCCAACTTAGAGTTAAGTTTGACTTAGTATCTTTGTGAAACACCCCCCAGAGACACTGGATGCTTTCTGCCTTGCTAGATGGTTGCATGTTTGTTTGTATGCTTGTTTCTCTTTTCATGGTTTTATTCAAAAACTGCAATTGTGCTTGTGCTTGGGTAATATACAAGAAATAAGCGATGAACAGTTGACGCACGTCACTGTGTGAAATGATTTCTGAGGATTAATATGGGGGGGGGGGTTGGGCTTAGCAGGTTGCCCTCAAAAGGAGGGGGGGGGGGGGGCAATTTTATGACTATATACATTGATATTGATATTACATTTTTAGATCAACTGATTTGTTGATGTATAGACCCATACTCGTCAACTAAAGTCAGTTTGCATTTGCCTGTTTGGAACATTTAATACTATGAAGAAATGAGTCAAAATTATGTTATCTTTCTAATTTTGATTTATCTTTTACCATCTACACATGCTGTTACTCTTTTTTGCATACAGAGGTAAAAAATGTCATGTTTCAAAATTTAATTGGTTATGACCAAAATGTACTTTTATGGTATTTTTATCTCAAAGTTATTTTAGTACCAGATATATTTTAAACTCAATTTTAGTACCAGGTATATTATAAAACCAATGATGGTATTTTTAGCTCAAAACATTTTAGTGGTTAGTACCAATGATGGTATTTTTTAGCTCAAAAGATATTTTAGTACCAATGATGTTATAGTTTCAAAGATGTTCTGAGCATTGAGTTATTTTTTAGAAATTCACACTTCATCATTTGAAGGATATTTTTTGCCAGGCACTTGTCCGCTCTTGAGTAACATCTGTGTGACTATGTGAATAACCAATAAGCTTCTTCTGAAATTGTTGTGGAACCTGGTAATTGACTTTACATTGGACCCTTACGGACATGTCCTTGTATTTAGGGTAATTTAGGGAAGATGAGAAGTGATCTTGATGGTCATACAGAGCTGCCAACCATTCCGGTTTTTTTTTTTACATACCGCACGTCCAACAACTGTCCTAAAATGGTGATTTGATTACAAATTCAATAGAAAACTTATTTTAAAACATACTTAAAGAGGAAAATATTCTCAAAAAGAGTGAAATGCCGATAATAGGAAAATAACCACCAAAAAAAATACCTGCTTGTTTGGAAAAAACAGCATGATGAATGAACATTTTTGCATTGGAAGTGTGTCGCGCGTGGTTGTAAGTTTTGTTTTTATGAATTCCTTTTTTTGCTTGAAATTCCTTTTTTTTGGCCATCATGATTCTTTTTTTTGGTCGCACAAGGTTGGCAGCTCTGGTCATACATGTATATTTCTAATTCTTGATTGAAAGAAGACAATAGTGTTCGTTAATACATTAGAATTGAAAAGTTTTTTTTAAAAACAAATTTTCTGCCTTGATATGTCCATATGTCCCAATATTTTCCTTTTCCTTTTCTATGATTTCCTTCCCAATGTAATCTCATTTTTTAATTATTTTTTTTGTCTTTCTTTATTTTGTTCTGTTTCTTCTGATTCTTCTTCTACTTCTTTTTCATCATCATCTTCTTCTTCTTCTTCTTCTTCTTCTTCTTCTTCTTCTTCTTCTTCTTCTTCTTCTTCTACTACTTCTACTTCTTTTTCATCTTCTTCTTCTTCTTCTTCTTCTTATTATCATTATTAATCTTCTCCTCCTCCTTTTCTCGCCCTCTGTTTGCTTATTAGGCAGCTATTATTCATTCTGCTTATTTTAGTTCGAAGATTTCATTAAGATGCAGTATTGAACATTGATCAGAATTCTAGTCTGAATCTAGCTGTGATATTTCATTTACCAAGATCTCAATATTACCTTTAATCTTGGTTTACATGTAGATCAGCATAATGACAGATGAATTATGAAGAGGCTGCCAAGTTCAATGTTTATCAGGCTAGGAAATTTAATCAATTACAATATTTAAAGCTGTTCTATTTTAGTCCATGTCCCTATGAAAGGAAGATCCCCCCCCCCCATTCATATATGCTATGATTATAGACATAGCCCCCTCTTGTGTCCTAAAGCAGCCAGCTTCACATGGGACTTAGTCAGGTAGGACTGAGTCAGAATGGGAGAGACGGAGAGGGGAAGAGGTTAAGGCGATAACGACGGTGAAATGATTTTAATATTCCAAAGTAAATGTTAGCTTGGAGGAAGTGGAATGTCTTGAAGTCAGCCACTTGACAGGATGGCTAGAAAATAACTTGAAGTGTTTATTGGGAGTGGAATGGTTATTGCCCCTGTTAAACTTTCATTTATTTATGATGGAGAGGGAGAGGGGGAGGGAGGGGAAGGGGATTTAAAGAGAGAGGTGTAGATTAGCAGCTCCTATGCCTGAGTAGTCTACTCAATTTGGGTTGGAATCGGGAATTGCAGTGAGAAAAATATTCAGGGATTGATATTGAAATAACTTTAGCTACTTTGTGCCTTTACTTTAGGGGTCTTCTTTGAAGTTGCTTCAACAATTCCATAGTACTAACATAGAAAGCGATGTGAATAATGTGTACTGTTTGCAAACTTATAGACATGCATATTTATTATCCAAACTTCATTTCCTTGCATTCTCCTCTGATGAGGGCAAGATGAAATGCTTCATTAGGTGTACTTTGTATAATGTCTGTACTTAAAGCTATTTTGCTATTATATTCTTTTTGTAGTGCCAATCACCTCTTTTTTGTGGGGGGGGGGGGGGGGGGGAGGTGGGGGGGAGGTTAATGTCTTCTTCAAGTTAGAAATCCCCAAATTTGTTTAGACTTGTTGCCAAATGGTGAAAATGGTAGTTCTTAGGCAAGTACTCATTTACGTTAACACTACACACAGTGAAGGATTATGAGTCAAATCGCACATTGTCCACTGTAGGATATAGCCGTGGTAGTTCTTGGCACTGCCTGTCTGTTCCACGCTGACTGGCGATACCCAGGCACGCACGCGAGGGAGAGCTTATTAGCTGCACGTGGCGCTACCTCAGCCATGGCAGGCAGCTGCATGTGACCTGACTCCGCGTATCCCATAATTCCTCTGGAACAGTGAGCAGGATGTCGCCGATATGAAGTGGTAGCATGGTCTGGGTATGATCTTAATGGAGACTGATTTGAGGGAGGGGTTAGTTTTTGTGTGGGGTAGAAAGGGGGTATTGGTGGCAGGAGGGGGTGGGTATGATCTTAATGGAGACTGATTTGAGGGAGGGGTTAGTTTTTGTGTGGGGTAGAAAGGGGGTATTGGTGGCAGGAGGGGGTGGGTATAATCTTAATGGAGACTGATTTGAGGGAGGGGTTAGTTTTTGTGTGGGGTAGAAAGGGGGTATTGGTGGCAGGAGGGGGTGGGTATGATCTTAATGGAGGCTGATTTGAGGGAGGGGTTGGTTTTTGTGTGGGGTAGAAAGGGGGTATTGGTGGCAGGAGGGGGTGGGTATAATCTTAATGGAGGCTGATTTGAGGGAGGGGTTGGTTTTTGTGTGGGGTAGAAAGGGGGTATTGGTGGCAGGAGGGGGAGGGGGATGGGGGTAAGTAAGCGTGGACAAATATAGCAAAAGCAATAAGATGAACAAAGTTGTAAGAATAGGGGGTCCATGCATATTGAAGGTTCTCAGGATTGGTTGAGGAGGGGGGCTTTGTGTGACTTGTTTTTTCATTATGGAGAGGTCAAGATAAGTAACCAGCATAGAGAAAGGTAAGGAC